TATCTTAATACTTACACTGGATTGACTGCATTTGCCTGCTTCATCATGGTCATACTGATCCAATAGTTGTATCTGCTATCGTTGAACAGGGATTTGCCATAGGTAATGGACTAACCAATCCTGAAATTCAGTACAAGGCCTACCCTGATTTTGCACTGCAGATGGGGTTGATTAAAAAAGCTGACTATGATAGGATTTCTAAGACGATTCCAGACTGTGAACAGGCAATTAAGACTTGCGGTATTTCCTCTTCATTTCCTTTGTTCTTCACATACCTGTTAGTTACAATCTCATACGAGATTTGATGGTTGTCTTACAACATTATCTAACTCATGAATTTTCTGATATCTGAAACTGTCAGGCTCTGAGGGTGGAGAAGCTTGTGCATCTTCATATGAAGTTTGCAATAGCATATTCAACAAGATCATGAATATAATTGGTGGTACAAACGTAAGCAAGTGCAAAAATATTTTTATCATCATCAGAGAAATAAGTTCTAAACTAACCCACATACAAATTCAAGTATGCTGAGAGTTTACTTTATATGCAGTACTATGATATTAGAAAGCAATGTGAAGGGGACTTGTGCTATGACTTCTCAAACATGGAGACATTCTTGAACAAGAAACAGGTTAGGGATGCCCTAGGAGTTGGGGACATAGACTTTGTTTCATGCAGCTCTACGGTATATGACGCTATGCTTATGGACTGGATGAGAAATCTGGAAGTGGGAATTCCTGCCCTTCTTGAAGATGGAATTAAGGTGCTTGTGTATGCTGGGGAGTATGATCTCATCTGCAATTGGCTTGGTGAGCCTCTTTGTTCTAGCAAAAAAGCTCATGTTTCATGTATTAGAGAGGATATAGTACTTTTGGAACTCTTATATTATGATGCCTATTTATTTTGCAGGGAATTCAAATTGGGTTCATGCCATGGAATGGTCTGGTCAGAAAGCATTCGGAGCATCATCAACTGTTCCATTCAAGGTTGGTGGTACAGAAGCAGGACTGCTAAAAAGCCATGGAGCTCTGACTTTCCTCAAGGTCTCTATCTTTCTCTATCTCTCTCATCTCTCTGTCTCTGATTTCACATTGTAACTTCAGCAAATTTGATTGCATGTAACCAAAAACAGGTCCATAATGCCGGTCACATGGTTCCAATGGATCAACCAGAAGCCGCATTACAGATGCTGACAAGTTGGATGCAAGGAAAACTGGCCATAGCTGAGTCAGTCGAAAGAATTGCTCCCAAATGATAGCCTCAGATCCTGGCCTGCCAACATGTGGTTTTCAAAGTGGAGTCTGTTCCATAACGGTAGTTACCATGCCTGCTTTGACAGACCTAAAAGTTTCTAATCTAGAGTCCAGGTTTCTGCCAAAATGGCTCGCTATACAATTTCACATTTTTCAATGGCGTTTCTTGTCTTTTGTAAGTTCCACTGATTTGGTATTTGCAAACTTGCATATTCTTTTAAAAATTGGCAACCATATAGAGCACAATTGGATGGATGATTCTTTGAAGAACTATGAAAAAGCCATGAGTTTCAGCATCATTTTAGACAAAAACAGCTAAACTGTTACCAACGGCTTAAATTTTCCAAGTATAAATGCAGGCAACCAAAATACCATCACGGAAATGTGGGCATAAAGGCGCAGTATACTTGGAAGTGTTAAAAAAGCCTAGTGCTTTGAGAAACCAGTGCGATTCAATAATGAAGAAATTAACAAAAGCAGATCAATAGCATTTGCAAGTCCATAGCATGCAGTAGATGAAAACAACTGCAGTCAAGTGCTTCTTACTCCATACAATTCCCTCAACGTCACAATTGCTGGCTGAAAACCAGACCTCAATGGAATAACTTGAACCGCTCGCAGATGTTGTGCATTCCCATTCTTTGGTTTGGATAACGTCATTTTAAACTTCTCTCCCTCCAGAATTCTACTCACATTAACAGCTGCATAAAACACCCCAAAACAAGGCATCACATATTGCATTCATCAGGAAAGCATCAGAAAATAAGTCAGAAATGAGAAGAGTAAGATTGTGTAGTTACAGTAACACAAACAAAAATCACATTTTTAATGCAATTGGGTTGGAGGTTTACCAGCAAAAGGGTGAAACTTGGCAAAGTCAAAAAACTCATCAGCAGAACAACCAAACAGAACCTTGGCAGCCCTATCAAAGCATATCACAGTGAACACCTTTGTATCTGAGGCTATTGACATCTGCAAAACAACCCAAAAAAACAACCAAAAAGAATTTACTAAAAAGTACCTCAAAAGGCAAGTCTTGAAAAACCCAATTGGAAAGCAGGCAGCTTTTTTGGTAAAGCAAACAGCTTTTCAAAAATAGGGTAAAGGGAAATGAGAAAAATTGAAGAAGAAGAAGAAGAAAGAGAAGTTACAAGAAGGCGGAAGAGTCGTTTTGAGCGAGGAAAACGGGGGTTGAAGGCATTGACGCTGCAGAATTTGCAAAGAGAAGTTGGATTGTCAGGGAGAGTCCTCTCGCAGACGGAGCACACTCTGTAAGAGAAGTCGGTGTGATCTATTGCTAGCACTGTGCACAGCATCGTTGTTGGCTTATCGGCTTCCATGACTCCCTCTGTCACGGCAACGAATTTTTTGAAAACTAAGCAAACTTTATACCCTTCTTCAATAAGTCAATATTAGCTTTTTTTAGTATTTGTTTTCCATAAAAAAATCATTTAACTTTCTTTTTAGCAGAATTATTTTTCTCTAATCTTACAAAAAATTACAACCATTATTCCCAAAAAAATTACCATTGTTAAGTATAAAGTTACACGCAGAATAAACTAAATAAAAAACATCAAGCACTACACAAGAAAAAGTTAGAGCATTAGGAAAAAATTTCAAGCGCCACACAATTGTGCATTATCAAATGTATCATATATTTAAGACTTTTTAAAAGAAAAAAAACCAATCTTCAATTGTGCATTATCAAAGGGTTTGAAACTGAAGTAGTTAAGAGCAATGATGAATGGAGCTAAGGCCCATGGTGGACATGTGCGCCCTCAAATGTTTTACTAATACAATCATACTTTTTTAATCAAATTTTAAGGTGGCCCTTCCTTTCTTTATATTTTTCTTCTTTTCCTTTCTCATTATCATTGATATCCCTTTCAAATCTCTCATTGTCATACTTTGACTCTAGCTTTTGTAGTGATAAATTACCGTTTGAATATGTATCTTTAATAAAGCACATTGCATTTGATTTTTTGCTATTATTGATGATGAGTAAATAGTTAATGTAACATATGAAATAATGGGGTATAGAAATTAAAATTAGGGATTTTGTATCAAGTAAAAAATTAATTGATTGTTACCCTAAAGAAAAATATATTGCAATATATAAGGTGCCCCCTATGTGAAAAATTTCTGGCTTTGCCACTACTTAAGAGCAATTACATTTGCACTCAGGGCATGTTTACGTATCAGTAATGGGTATGGGAAGAAAGGGATTCAATATATTTGCACTCAGGGCATGTTTGCCACTAATTAAGAGCAATTACATTTGCACTCAGTAACATTATCGATAATAATATCTTCCCATTCCGATTCAATAGTTTCCCTATTCCTAAATTCTCTGATTCCTTACTTTCTCCATTACTGATACGTAAACATGCCGTCAATGTTATAAATTCGATTCCCCCCTCATTATCGCTTGTATAAATAAAAATTTAAAAAAACAAACTAGGTTTTTTATCACAAAACGTCCATGACGTTTGCGAAACTATCAGATTGCATCCTTAAAGTTTTTATGTATCACTCATGGTCCCTAACGTTAATATGGGTGCTCTTAAATAGTCCCTCCGTCAAAAAAACTGTTAAATCCAGGGATAAAATCGTCAACTCTGTATTGCTGAAATTTTCCTTCTTTTTATTTTTTTTTCCTTCCATCTCTCTCTCTCTCTCTTCTCTTGCACTTCTTTATCTCCAGTCCTCTACCCAAGCTTCTCCCTCCACAACACTCTCTTCCCTGTTGCTTTCATCCATGGCAATAGCATAACTTTTCCTTCCGTTATTTTTATATATAATGGTTTTGGCTGAGTAAGCATTGATGTCTGACTAATTTATGGTTGAGTAAGGAATTGGTTTATTTTTATATTTTTGGAAAGCCGAAATGAGTTAGGAAAAAAACAATAGAACAGAAAAGAAAAGAAAGGAAACGAATAGAAAAGAAAAAAAGAAAAAGGGAGAAAGCATCAAAACAAAAGAACCAGAGAAACAACCCAAAATGGTGGAAGAGGAAGGAATAAGAAGGAAAATACAGCAACCCAAATGCTCCCCACCAGAAACACCAAAAGCCCCACAGTCAAAATCCAAACCCCCAACAAACTCTCCAATCCCAAAAGAAAGCAAACAACTGTGGAGAGGAGAGAAGAATAGGGAAGGTCAAATAGAAGGGAAATTAGAGGGAGAGACAGAGGAGGAGCTACCGTAAGAAATGGGAGAAGAGAGGAGATGGAAGGAAAAAAAGAAAACTTCAGCCACGCAGATGGGGGAAGAAATGAGAAAGGAAGAAGAAAGGGGAGGAAGGAGACGAAGAGTGCGAGAGAAGGAAGAGAGATGGAAGGAAAAAAAATTAAAATAAAATGAAGGAAAATTCAGCAACACAGATGGGAGAAGAATTGAGAATGGAGGAAGAGAGGGACAAATCTCCCTCTAGACTTATATATATATATATATATATTAATTTTGGATTGATTTGACGATTATATCCCTGGATTTAACAGATTTTTTGATGGAAGGACTATTTAAGAGCACCCATATTAACGTTAGGGACCATGAGTGATACAAAAAAACTTTAAGGATGCAATCTGATAGTTTCATAAACGTCAGGGACATTTTGTGATAAAAAGCCAACAAACTACAACAAAAAACCGCTCCAAGGCCATCATGGGCCTGAAAAATGTCACCCCAAATTTGTCACACTTGGGCCTTTTGCCCAGTACACCTCTCTAGTAAGCTAGTCGTCTTGTCACTCCCATAACTCTGTCTTGGCGATATCAATTCGGTGCATTTCTTTTCTACAGAGTTTCGAAGACAACAGTGCACACTGCAAACGGTAAAGCTCGCCCATTTAAGTTTCAGGTAAGCTACCTTCTCCGTCAATCTTTCTTTTTCTTCACTTCGACTTTGAGTTTGATCTTCTCTTTGTGACTCTTGAGGTGCAAAATAAAAAGATTTTATAGAAAATTCAAGTATGGCATTAATGAATTTTTGCTTATGTATATACATTTTGATTAAGATACATAACTCCCTAATTCTGACTAAAAGTGATTAACTTTTTTGTTTCTAATTTGAGCTAAAGTTTCTTGCTGCTTGGGCTCAGTTAATTACAGTTGAAGCTCAACATTTTTTTTTTTTTTCTTAAATATTTTGGTAAGGTGGCACTTCAGTTGGCTTATTGAGTTGGGTTTGCAGCAGTGGATCATCAATTTCTTGTGGAATATTATAGCAATCAAAATGGAGCCTGACAGGTATTATGGGCAATCTTTACTTTCTGACTCTTTTACTTGTAACATATTTATATAGAATTTTGAAAATGTAGGGTTTATTATTAGAAAAAAGATATGCTTATGCAATTTGAAGAATATATTACTTGGGAAGTCTCATATAATTTTTTTGTTCCTTTTTCCAATATTATGTATATATGTATGTTAAAATAAAACTGTTCAAATTTTCTGTTGCAGGTTAAACTCCCCCTCTACATTTACCATGAACTTAGAAGTTTTGGGCCATGACTTACAGTTCGCTCAGGTTTTTTATTTTCTCCTCTTTTTGTTTTTGGGATTAATGTTATCGTGTTAAGAAAGATCTTCAGAATCAGAAAATATTAAGTTTAGTGCTTTTTGAAGAAGACATTCTCCTAATGCTTAGAAATCAACGAGAGCTAACCAATTTAGAGTATGGTAATAGGAAGGGGCATAATATACTTTCGTGCATATGAACTGTTTTTGCTCTTTACTTTTCTGTATGACCATTTTCACCAATCCTATGTCTGTTGCATGAGTTACCTGTTATCAACTTTAATAATGGCTTTGTGATCATATATATGTCCTAATAACTTCTTGCCTGACCATGGAATGGCTTTATCTTTTCCATAGGATCCAAATTCAAAGCATTTAGGAACTACGGTTTGGGATGCATCACTGGTGTTTGTGAAGTTTCTGGTAATGATTGTTATCCCCCCTAGAAACTCTTGTAAAGTTCCGGTCATTTTAGTTTCCACATGTTTCTAACTCTAAACTTGGAAATGATGCATGTAAGTGACCTTTTATGGTTGAGCTTAACTTTGTTAAAGTTTGGGCCCAGTTGAATGCAATATTTGGATATGGAAGGAACAGCAAGGCTATATTCATCCTTAAAATAGATGTAATGCATTGATGATTTTGAAGTTCATCAAAGGAACCGAAAATAAAGGGTGTTTAGAAATTGATCTTCCTATTAAACAATCTGCTATTATTTTTAAATAAAATTCTGTAAACCTGAAACGATACAGTGATAAAAAAGAACTGCAACAGATATACTATCAGTCAGTTGCCATTTAACTTGATTTTGGTTCATAGGAATAACAAAGGATATTCGATTCACTCATTCGGGGCCAAAGGGACTCTACAATTACATATTACACTTTTGAATTGGAAGGGGCTTAGATGCCGATCCTATTGCTTCATTTACTAAGAAGGGGGTCTGACCAAAAAAAATTACTAAGACGGGGGTGGGTGCAGCAGCTATATGGACCCCTTCCTTTATGTTGTTGTCTGCGGTTTCCTGTGCCGAGCCAGAAAGTTTTTATCTTTTAAAGAGCAGGCAAAGCCCAAACCCTGCTACCTTTCCCACCGAGGGCAGTGACTCAGCCTGCAGCAAATTTTGTTAATCTTGAGAAAATAATTTTTCTGCTCTAGGTATAGATTTTCATGCTGTAGCTGGAGTTAGGCTTTCCTTTCAGTTCAGTATTGGTTATGTTTTGGTTCCAGAGCAGATCATATGTCAATATGTACTTTAGCTTCGTGGCCTAGTTTTTTGTTTATAAATCTACATCTGACTTTATTGGCTTTTCCAGGAAAAGAATTGCAGAAAGGGAAGGTTCTCCCCAGCTAAACTTAAAGGAAAACGTGTCATTGAACTTGGAGCAGGTTGCGGAGTAGCTGGGTTTGGTGAGTTTTCTTTTTCCTGTTAAATTCATGTTGAAGTTAATCTATATGGCTTTTTATTCTTTTCCTGCTTGAAATGGGTCAAGTTTACTTTGCTTTCTCAGGTGTTTTGCTCCTAGTCTTATCTCATTTTGCTCTTTCAGGCATGGCATTACTGGGTTGTGATGTGGTTACGACAGATCAAGTGGAGGTTTTGCCATTACTAATGAGAAATGTTGAACGGAATACTTCAAGGATCACACAAATGAATTCTGGTCTGGTTTGGTTTGAAAGTTTAGAACCATATTCAATACCATGTGCATGTATTAGTTCCCATATCCTCAATGGTAGAACCAATAATGTCTTGTCACTTTCAACTGTATATTTTATATATGGCCATTCGGTTTGTGTAGCCCGTATTTAAACCCGCCAACTGCAACAATTGTTTCTGTTCTTTGAATGTTTTGAACAATATTCAATACCATGTGCATGTATTGGTTCCCATATCCTCAATGGCATAACCAATAATGTCTTGTCACTTGCAACTGTATATTTTATATATGGCTACTCGGTTTGTGTAGCCCGTATTTAAACCCGCCAACTGCAACAATTGTTTCTGTTCTTTGAGTTTAAGAAACTGAACTCAACAAGAACAAATTAACATTACAAAACAAAACTGGTCTTTTTGGTTGGTTTGGTCAATTTAATTGCCTTTTCTAGATTTTTGCTCACAACTCATGAAAGTTATGTTCTTTGTAGACACATTTGGTTCGATCGAGGCAGCGGAGTTGAGCTGGGGAGATAAGGATCATATAAGAGCTGTTGGTCCACCATTTGACTACATTATTGGCACTGATGTTGTAAGTTCACTGAGTTTCAGCTGAAAATTGAAAACTTTAGTTTCTGCAGTTTTCTTGACCTACAATGACAAATGATTACAACTATGGTATAGGCCGTATGGCACAAACAAATATGTGAACTTAGGATTCCTTTCAATCAAATTTCTAAAGGTTTCTTACTTGTGTTGTGCTTATAATTTATTTCACCCTGATGTCCTAGTCTTTTTATTCGTTATAACTGATCAATTTTCAACTTACTTGGCTTTAAGGTGTATAAAGAAAATCTCTTGGAACCACTGCTGCAGACAATGTTTGCATTATCAGGGCCTAAAACTACAATTTTGGTATGCTACTTCCTAGGTTTGAGCTTTAATTATTTTTGCCTAAAAATTGTTATTGATGCACTGGTTGTTTCAATTGGGAAGATTGGGTATGAGATTCGGTCTACAAGTGTCCATGAGCAAATGCTTCAAATGTGGAGAAGAAACTTCGATGTGAAAACTGTTCCAAATTCTAAGGTACAGTTTAGTTTTTGTAATGCAAATCCAAATACTTGTCTATGGGGTTTGCAAGTGAAATTCCTGGTTCCTGTGACGTGTAGATTGCATGTTAGTGCATGGATTGAATTGTTGATATTCTTGGGGGCTAATTTATTGCAGGGTCTTGCGTCATTCATAATGCACCACATATAAGATTAATGCTTTTCTGGCATCCACACTTTGCCTTGAGCTTTGGAGAATATTCACTCTTACCTTTGTTTAATTTTCTTAAATACAAGAAATTTTCTTTTTCCGAACTCCTGCAGATGGACAGTACCTACCAGCATCCGGATATTCAACTTTACATTATGACATTAAAGCCTCCAGAGGGGTATGCAGACAACGCAGTTGAGGTGATTGATGAGAAAGACGATGAACTGGAGACTGGAGAGGAAGAAGCGGCTAAGGTGATTGATCAGAAAGTTGATGAAGTTGAGACAAGTGCAGAAAACACAGTTAAGGTGATCGGTGAGAAAGATGATGAAGTCGAAAGCAGCAAGGAAAAAGGTGAAAACAGTTATCTTGATGAAGAGGTTGAGGAAGATTGTGAGCCAGTGACAAGACCTCAGAATGGTAAACTTACTGATTGGGAAGCTAGAAGATATGGCTCAATGGCTGCAAGGCTTCTGCACGATATCAAAATTACTTAGGTTATAGGTTTATATTTGATGTATCTTGTGCTGTCATGTTGCTTGCGTTGTTGGGTTTCAAATACTAATCTAGTTTCTTGCTTTAATGTTCGTTATTAAGATATCAAGACATAATGCTTGTTAGAAACACAATGGCTTTCCTTTCTTTATTTTTGGAATGCCATTCTCCGAAAAGAGTCTTTGATGTATAAATCGTGTTTTATATACAAGAGGCGATCACTATAATCTTGATGGTTTCCTTACAAAAATCTCAAAGGAGATGTTAGATTAAAGTTTGAAAAACCAAAGTGAAGAATTCATAATAGAAGTAATTCTTTAATTAATTTTATGGTCATCAAAATAATGCCTCTAGAATATTTCCATGCAATGGAAATATACAAAAAACACAATATGGCAGCAATTTGAGAATGGTTGGATTCAATATATACACACACAAAAAGAAAAGGTTATGACACAAGCCAATTAGAAAGGAGAAAAAAAATGAAGATGTAAGTATTTTTACATTCAATGGAAGTATACAAACACTATATGGCAGAAATTTGAGAATGATTGGATTCAATATGGCCATGAAGAACGTGACTGCCATTGATGCCTGCTTGTGAGGTTGTATTAGATAAGTTGCTCAAAATGGAAAATTCATCCATATATATACCCAAGTAGGAAATAAGTGGGTCTGCCCGGGCCTTGTCGATAACAAACCTCAAGTACTGAGATTTTACCGTCGGAAATTGCAGAAGCCTTTGATATCCGATTGTGGTGCCATTAATTACTTCATTCCACTCCCCATCTTCATTCAGGACCTCAAGATGGAACTCAATAACCCGCTGTCCCATTTGAATTGGCTCTTGAACTTGCAGAATGTTGAATGATACTAATTCTTGAAGGTTCAAGTATAGAATCCAATTAGACTGATTTACCTCAGGGGCCCAATAGGACTGAATACCTTCTTTGATGACATTGTAGGGGTTGAACCAAGAATGGCTACTACCTCCTCGCGTACAGCTTGCGTTGATAAGGGCATTTATGGCCAGATTATGTGAGAATATTGACCTCCGGAGCTCACTGAATTCTTGAAGCACTTGGATATCTTCTGCTGATATGAGACCTGAAGAGTTTGGGGGTACATTGAGTAACAAGAGACAATTTCTGCCAGCTGATTTGTAGTATAGGTCAAGAAGAGTCCTTGCTGATTTTGGAAGTTCCGAAGAATGCCAAAACCAACCAGGCCTGATTGAGACATCACACTCAGCTGGTACCCAATCATGACCAAATGGGTCTCCTCCATTTGAATATCTGTTTTATATGCCCATCATATTAACTCATAGCTCTTGGAGAAGAAAAGATGGTGCATAAAAAGATAGGTGCTGATTGCAGCCTCACAGGTTCTCTCAATAGGATCTTTTAAGCATATAGAAACAGTGCAGATAAATAGATGTCTGTATCTGAATGCACGCATACGTATACAGACATACATATATCTCCAACTACTAGAGAAACACAGAAAAGCTAATGGAAGTTAGAAGAGTGAACTCACTGGTAATCAGTGTCGCCGATCTTTGCATCACTCCGATTGAAAAGAGACCAACAAGTAGACCCGGCAACGCCAGCTTCATCCCCAACCCACCTGGTGTCAGGACCAGCATCGGAAAAAATGACAGCCCCTGGCTGGAGTTGATGAATGAGACTAAACCAAGAATCAAAAAAATATTCCATGTCTTTCTCCCCCTTCCCCTTTGCACCATCCAACCACACCTCCCTGATCTCTCCATACCTGTTTATAATTAAAAAAAACCACCACAAGTCATTGAACATCTGTCCAAGAAATTCATCAAAAATCAAAGAAGCAAAAGTTCAAACAAATTCTCCAATCAGCCAACTTGAAGCAACACAGATGAATTAAAACATAAACCTTGATAATCAGTTAAACCGAACATCACAAATATTGTGACAAAATACATATCAACTAAATTCAAGAGAGCACATAAAAGACTGAATTGTACAGAACATGAAATGCTAAAACAAAACCATCAAGCAGAGGTCTGAGAATTTGATTTACATAATTGCACATAACTCATAAAAGCACAGAACACTTCGAAATCCATAACATCGATTCCAAAAATGCAAAACACAATTCCAGTTCCACACAATAAGAAAAGAGCTAACGTTCCTTGATAATAAAAAAACTCAACCAAATTAACAAAATTGCAGAGAATGCAAATTGATCATACTTAAAGAAAACCGCTTAGAGAACTCATCAATAAAATCAAACAAACCCAATTCACAAAAACACTAGAACATCCAAAATTCAGCAGAAAAATGTACCTTGTCAGCAATTCTGTCATTTGCCCCATGTAGAACTCGTTATACTCCAAAGTCTTCCCATATATCGGTTCATGCCGATCCCACGGCGAAAGGTAAAGCCCCAATCCAATACCTGCGTCCCTAGCAGCCATAGCCAGCTCACCAACAACATCACCACCACCATTCCTCCAGGGGCTGGAGCTCACCGAGTAGTTGGTGTACTCAGTAGGCCACAAGCAGAACCCATCGTGATGCTTTGCGGTGAGAATTACGCGGGAAAAGCCCGAGTCTTTGGCCACTTTGACCCACTGAGTGGCATTGAGCTTGGTGGGGTTGAAGGCTGAAGGGTCAACGTGGCCTGTGCCCCATTCTGAGTCTGTGAAGGTGTTGGGTCCAAAATGGAGGAACATGGCCATGTGCCCAAGTTGCCATTGGAGCTGGGGAGCTGAGGGGAGGGGCAGAATGGGAAGAGGAGGTGGCTTTTTGGGTAGTGAGGATGAAGAAGAAGAAGAGAGAGATAAGGGTGGGAGTGAGAGTGAGAGAAAGATGAAAAGGGTGAGTTGTGAAATTGAATTTGTGAAAATTGGTGTTTGGGTTATTGGGTTGTGCAGGTGAGAGGTGGCCTTGTGGATGCTCTGCCTCTTCTTCTTCATGATGCTTGGGAGGCAGGCAGGGACTATGCACAGTTTTTGACTTCCAGTCTTAAAGAGTTGTTTTTCTTTTTCTTTTTCTTTTTTCTACTTTTATTTTTTTATTTGGATGAATGAAATAGAATTACTAGTAGATCTGGTGGTCTGATATAGGTTGATCGCAAAGCAAAGCAAAGGAGGTATGGTTGTTGACTTGTTACGTTGTTTGTTTATTTTTAAAGGCTTTTTATCACAAATGGTCCTTTACGTTTATGAAATTATCACGAATGGTCCTTCAGATTTTTTTGTGACATTAATAGTCCTTAACGTTTGGGCTTTTTATCACAAATGGTCCCTGCCGTTATAAATTCTGTTAAGTGTGATGTGGAAGATAACCAAAATGTTAGAAAACCCATATGAAAAGAGAACAAACGAAATTCATATTGATCCAATATTTTTTTCTTTTATTTTTTTTGTATTTACATCAAGCTCTGCACTCGCTACAAAAATTTCAACTTAATTACCAGCATATTATCCATGCTACAAGAAAACCAAAAACTTTATATATGCTCTACTCAAACAGAGGAGCCTAGAGCTCAGATTGAGGTTCTGTACTTTCTCTGTCAGAAAAGCTCCTCTTCACTTTCTCCTTCGTCTTCTGCACTGTTTCCCCAACTAATTTGGCTGCTGATTTAGCCGAGGAGTCCACCGTCTCTGTGCTCTTCCCAAAACTATTCCCACAACCTCTCTCACCTTCTCTCCAGCTCCTCCTCCTCTCTGCTCCCAGCCTCCTCTCCATCATAAATATTATTACCACTCCCCCTAAAACTAACACCAAATCAATAATAATCACATAGTTAATTAACAACAGAACCACAGAAAGGAGAGCAAAGGGTGGGGAGCGAGGGCAAAGGGGGAGAGAGACGGAGTAAGGAAGGGGATGAAAAGTTGCAGAAAAAAAAAAGGAATTTTCATTAAAAAATTATTTAATTATTTTTTATCCACATGTCACAATGTGATTGGGCATGTGGGCTCCACTTATTTTCCACGTCACACTTAACAGAATTTATAACGGCAGGGACCCTTTGTGATAAAAAACTCAAACGTTAAGGACTATTAGTGTCACAAAAAAACCTGAAGGACCATTCGTGATAATTTCATAAACGTGAAGGACCATTTGTGATAAAAAGCCATTTTTAAATGACAATGGATGAGGGACAATACTTCCCTCTTGTTTCCCTCCATACGCGCAAGGAGGAACTCTTACTTACCTTCTATTGTAGCTTAATCACAAAATAACATGTGTTCTCTCTTTTTTAATTGTCAATACCGTTTTTTTTCTTTTCACTTTTACTAAACCCCTAACTTTTTACAAAACATTCACTTGGTAATATGATCTTGTATTGAAAAACCTTCATGAAGAAACTGTGTCTACAAATGTCGTTAGTGGCAACTTTGGTTGTAGAGGAATTATTAAAGTTAGAGTTCGAAAGGGCTACAAAGACTTAAAATTTTGCAGGAAAATTATTATTTTAAAAATGGTTGAGAAAAATCAAAATGAAAAACAATGGGAATTTATTTTTATTTTTTTCCTATTTTGGTAAAAAGTTAAGGGTTTAATAAAAGTGAAAAAAGGAAAAGATGTTTGACAATTTAAAAATGAGAATATATGTCACTTTGTGATTGAGCCACAATAGAAAGTAAGGACGAGTTCCTTCTTATGGGTAAGAAGGTATGTATTGTCCTCCTTTGAGGAGGAGCATCTTCAAGAGGCTGAGGTTTTTTGTTGTTTGTTGGGGTGTGTTCCCAGTTTACCGAAAAAGCAAGCACGTTCAAGGGTGAGTAGTAGGCAGAGGAAGTAGCTAAAATTCTACTCTAATAATTTAAAGTGACATGTTTTCTAGTCATTTAAAAAGTTGATAAAAAAACAGTAAATGAGGCCCTAGCCATTCCAAATCAAACTCCCAGTTGAAGGCATCAATCCGGAATTTGTTCTTTTGTTTCCTGTTTTTGGGTTGAGTAGAAAGGCCCAAACTTTCAGGTTATATATGCTTTCGTGTGGTATTTAGGAGGCCCAGTTTTAAATCCAATCTGGGATTTGGAACTGCTCCATCAGATTCTGAATTGAGAGTGT